ACAACCCAGTGATTCCGGCCATGAAAGCCTTCGACAATACATTGACACACTGGTTGTTTTCCAGGTGCTTTCTCTATCTCAGTGTTTCTCAACCTGGGGGTCGGGACCCCTCGTGGGGTCGCAAGGGGGTGTGAGAGGGGTCACCAAAGACCATCAGAAAATAGTATTTTCTGTGTGGGAAGTTTGGCCCAAATCTCTCATTGGTGGGGTTCAGAATGTGCTTTGATTGTAGGTGAACTATAAATTCCAGCAATTACAACTCTAAATGTCATGGTCTATTTCCCCCAAACTCCATTAGTGTTCATATTTGAACATATTGAGTATTCGTGCCAAGTTTGGTCCAGATCTATCATTGTTTGAGTCCACAGTGCTCTCTGGTTGTAGGGGAACTACAACTCCAAAACTCAAGGTCAATGCCCACTAACCCAGTATTTTCTGTGCGTCAAGGGAGTTCTGTGTGTCAAGTTTGGTTCAATTCCATCGTTGGTGGAGTTAAGAATGCTCTTGGTGAACTATAAATCTCAGCAAATACAACTCCCAACTGTCAAGATTCTATTTCCCCCAAACTCCACCAGTGTTCACATTTGGGCATATTGCATATTCGTGCCAAGTTTGATCCAGATCTATCATTGTTTGGGTCCACAGTGCTCTCTGGAGGTGAACTACAACTCCAAAATTCAAGGTCAATGCCCACCAAAACCCTTCCTGTATTTTTTGTTGGTCATGGGAGTTCTGTGTGCCGAGTTTGGTTCCTTTCCATCGTTGGTGGAGTTCAGAATGCTCTTTGATTGTAGATAAATCCCAGAAACTATAACTCCCAAATTACAGAATCAATCTGCCCCCCCCCTCCCCCAACACCACCAGTATTCAAATTTGGACGTATCGGGTATTAGTGGCAAATTGGATCTAGTGAATGCATCCTGCATATTCAGATATTTACATTATGATTCACAACAGTAGCAAATCTACAGCCGTGAATTAGCAACAAGAATAATGTTATGGTTGGGGGTCACCACCACATGAGGCACTGCATTCAGGGGTCGTGGCATTTGGAAGGTTGAGAACCACTGCTCTATCTTACTATAGGCTGTGAGACTGCATCACTTTGTTCTGTTTGAGTTTTTCTGCATCTTCCCTTTATCCTAAATATAGGTTAAATGCAAAAGCGGATGTTGTTGGATTTAATTAGAGGTCCCGTCTCACTTCCCTCGGAGAGGTTGCCTGTTTTTATATCGGGTGTCGTTATGTCTGCCTCGAAGATTTTTTAAACTACAAGTTGATAATCATGTTGGAAGACTGGATTCAGTTACATATATTTATTTTTATTAGAAGCTTCAATTTGCACCCAACTATGCTCAAACAGTTATTTAAGTACAGTTAAAATATGACAAAATCCAATAATATAGCAATGAAATAAAAAGCCAAGGAATATTAAAAAAAACAACAAAGTACAGTTTCTTACAAACCCTTACTATATATGAACACACTGCACCTATTTTTCATTTATTTACTGTATTTATATAATGAGAATACATATTGCACAGCTGATGCAGGTGTTACATACTGATTCACTGTCGATAAGATCAATTAACGTGCCAAATGAATGCTGTGTTGCAATGATTTGTATAATATTGTTGGCACCGCTCCATAGACTCAGTTGCGGTGGATCATCAAACAAGAGTTTTGTTGGGTTGTTGTAGGTTTTTTTGGGCTGTATGGCCATGGTCTAGAGCAGTGGTTCTCAACCTTCCTATTGCCACGACCCCTTAATAGAATTCCTCCTGTTGTGGTGACCCCCCAACCATAAAATCATTTTTATTACTACTTCATAACTGTCATTTTGCTACTGATATCAATTCTAATGTAAATGTCTGATGTATTTTCATTTACTGGACCAAATTTGGCACAAATACTCAATACACCCAAGTTTTAATACTTGTGGGTACCAAACATGCCAGGTTTGTATGGAAATGTGACTCTATTTCCTGTGCTGGTCAATGACCGAAATAAATGATTTGATTTGATTTGATACTTGTGGGGTTTGGGGGATTTTGTCATTGGGGAGTTGTAGTAGCTGGGATTTATAGTTCACCTACAATCAAAGAGCCTTCTGAACTCCACCAATGATGGAATTGAACCAAACTTGGCACACAGAACTCCCATGACCAACAGAAAACACTTTGGTGGGACCTTGAGTTTGGGAGTTGTAGTTCACCTGCATCCAAGTAGACCACTGTGAACTTAAACAATAATGGATCTGAACCAAACTTGGCATGGATACTCAATATGCCCAAATGTGAACAGTGGTGGAGTTTGGGGAAGATAGACATTGACACTTGTGAGTTGTAGTTACTGGGATTTCTAGTTCACCTACAATGAAAGAGCATTCTGAACCCCACCAGTGACAGAACTGGGCCAAACTTCCCACACAGAAACCCCATGACCAACAGAAAATACTGTGTTTTCTGATGGTCTTTGGCGACCCCTCTGACACCCCCTCACGACCCCTCCAGGGGTCCCGACCCCCAGGTTGAGAAACACTGGTCTAGAGGCATTTTCTCCTGACGCTTCACCTGCATCTATGGCACGCATCCTCAGAGGTAGTGAGGTCTGTTGGAACTAGGAAAAAGGGTTTATCTATCTGTGGAATGACCAGGGTGGGACAAAGGACTCTTGTCTGCTGGAGCTAGGTGTGAATGTTTCAACTGAGTTTTGTTCTTGCCCAGCGTTGATTTTTAAATTTTTAACTATTACACCTGGCCTGGCCATAGGTTTTTAAATCGCTGCGTGTTATTGTCTATATGTAAGTTATATTAATTGTATTGTTTTATTTGCTTACTGCTTTGATGTTTTTACTGATGTGTTGTTGGGCTTGGCCTCATGTAAGCCTCTCCGAGTCCCTTTGGGGAGATGGTGGCAGGGCATAAATAAATTATTATTATTATTATTATTACTAGCTGTCCCCTGCCAGGCGTTGCTGTGGCCCAGTCGGGTGATCTGGAAAATAAAGTAATGAGAAAGTGTTGGTTTCTAATATATGTAATTCTTTTCTGCTTGTGGGTAAACAGTATTCCTTGCTGTTTCTTTGCCAGTGTTGATGTGGAGAGTGTCTGGTTCGCCTACTCTGGAACATGCAACATATCATTGTTCTTCTTTAAGGGTCTCTTTGAAATCTATGATACTATATCTGTGTGTGTGTGTGTGAATCATATCGATTTATCTCTATCTATGGCTGGATGGCTCTCTGTCAGGAGGGCTCTGATTACATTTCCTTGCGCTGGTGAAGAGAGTTGGACTGGATGGCCTTAAGTATTTTCTGTTGGTCATGGGGGCTCTGTGTGGGAAGTGTGCCCCAATTCTGTTGTCGGTGGGGCTCAGAATGTTCTTCGATTGTAGGTTTTAGTTTTATTGTGCTACGGTGTATTGTTTTTACGTTTATTCTTATTGCGTAATGTTTTGATTTGCTTCATGGTTTATGTGTATTGTTGCATTGTTGTTTTATTGAGGCCTTGGCCTTGTAAGCCGCATCGAGTCCTTCGGGAGATGCTAGCGGGGTACAAATAAAGTTAATAATAAATAATAATAATAGGTGAACTATAAATCCCAGTAACTACAAATCCCAAATGTCAAGGTGTATTTCTCCCAAACTCCATCTGTGATCATATTTGGGCATATGGAATATTTGTGCCAAGTTTGGTCCAGATACATCATTGTTTGAGTCCACGGTGCTCTCTGGATGTAGGTGAACTACAACTCCCAAACTCAAGGTCAATGCCCACCAAATGCTGCTAGTATTTTTTGTTGGTCATGGGAGTCCTGTGTGCCAGGTTTGGATCAATTCCATCGTTGGTGGAGTTCAGAATGCTCTTTGATTGTAGGTGAACTATAAATCCCAGCAACTACAACTCCCAAATGACAAAATCATAATTTTTTGAGTGATGGTCACTCCTTGTGTAGTGAGATGTTTTGTTGCCAAATTTGGTGTGATTTCATTCATTGGTTCTTTTGTTTTTAAGGTACTCATTATGACCAGAGCATTTTATATATAATAATAATAATAATAATAATAATAATAATAATAATAATAATAATAATAATAATAATAATATATTTATTATGTATTATAACAGAGTAAGATAATAAATGACCTTGACTTGAGTATAAGCCAAGGGGGACTTTTTCAGCCTAAAAAAAATGTCTGAAAAACTAGGCTTATACTCAAGTATATACAGTATATTAGGAAATTGATTAATAATAATAATAATAATCATCATCATCATCATCTAATAATAATAATAATAATAATAATAATAATAATATATTTATTATGTATTATAACAGAGTAAGATAATAAATGACCTTGACTTGAGTATAAGCCAAGGGGGACTTTTTCAGCCTAAAAAAAATGTCTGAAAAACTAGGCTTATACTCAAGTATATACAGTATATTAGGAAATTGATTAATAATAATAATAATAATCATCATCATCATCATCTAATAATAATAATAATAATAATAATTATTATTATTATTATTATTATTATACCCTGCCACCATCTTCCCAGTGGGGACTCGGAGTGGCTTACATGGGACCAAGCCCGGACAACATATTACAGCAATAAAATCAAAACATAAACAACAAACAACAACAACAACATCAAAATTACATAAGCAAAAGGGGAAAAAAGGCAGTCATAAAAAATAACGTTCTAATAAACACAATCACAGTAACAATAACAATGGGCGGGCCACATGTAAAGGGTAAGACAATTAAAAGACTGTAATGAGATAAAATAGGAGCAGGATATTTAACCTTCCTTTTTGGTATTTATTTATTGTGTCAGTCCAACCAGTCGATTATATTACATTTCTAACAGAACAAAGCAAAAAAAAAAAAAGCCTGCCACTTTTGGACTCTTGCTTGCTGAGGTGTTACGGCGAGTGACTCTGTAGATTTTTTTGGTATGAAAAGCTAATGCTCTGATTGTTCTCTCACACAGGGACAGGAAACACGGTGGCCATTATGATAAGTTATTTGAAAGGCAAAGAAATCCTCCGTAAGATGGAACAGGGCTATCAAGTGACGATGTTCATCGAAGTGGGGAAAAAACACGGACCGTGGATGAACAACTATTCCATCTTCTTTGTTTCGGTGTCCTTCTTCATCGTCACAGCCGCTACCGTTGGCTACTTCATATTTTATTCTGCGCGAAGGCTTCGGATGGCAAGAGCACACAACAGGAAACAGGTGGGTTCCTTGTTTTACAGGTATCCTTTCCAGTCTGCTGGGGAGCCTGCAAGGCTGTTGAGATGACTTTCTCTCTTGTTTACTGCTATACAAACACACTGTCCAGGGGTTTACTTTGCAAATATGTGGCAAAATAATCAATATCTTCCTTCCAAAGGACAGGCGTCTGCTGGACTTGCCAGCATGTCATAGTTCGTTGAACTGCGTAATTTCAGGCCTTACAGGTTGGTAGCAAAGTAGCGAGTGGAGAAAGAAGAGAGTTCGCGTGTGAAATAGTTGCTAGCGATAAACTAATATTGATTGTTCTAAACATTCCTGATCAACCAACATCTTTGCTGATTGATTTTTTTGTCAATTACTATTTGTTAGTCTCCTCTCTCCCACAGTGTAGTTGTTTAGATAGGTGGGAGTGGCTGTATGCTCGACCTTGAGACTTCTGGAGGAATGGCGCAATTATTATTATTATTATTATGAGTTGTAGGTTTTTTCGGGCTGTATGGCCATGGTCTAGAGGCATACTCTCCTGACATTTCGCCTACACTTTGGCAAGCATCCTCAGAGGTAGTGAGGTCTATTGGAACTAGGCAAAAGGGGTTATATATCTGTGGAATGACCAGGGTGAGACAAAGGACTCTTGTCTGCTGGAGCTAGGTGTGAATGTTTCAACTGACCGCCTTGATTAGCATTCAATGGCCTGTCTGCGCCTGGGGCAAACTTTTGTTGAGAGTGATTTTATGTGCCTGTTTGTTTCCCCTCTGTTGTTTTGCTGTTGCAATTTTGGAGTTTTTTAATACTGGTAGCCAGATTGTGTTCATTTTCATGGTTTCCTCCTTTCTGTTGAAATTGTCCACAATCTTGTGGATGTCAATGGCTTCTCTGTGTAGTCTGACATGGTGGTTGTTGAAGTGGTCCAGCATTTCTGTGTTCTCAATTAATATGCTGTGTCCAGGTTGGTTCATTAGGTGCTCTGCTATGGCTGACTTCTCTGGTTGAAGTAGTCTGACCGCAGAGGGAAGCTGAGGAGGAAACACAACATACAAACTATCTACAGACCCACCAAGAAAATCCAACAAACGCTATGTTCAGCAAAGGACAAGAAGGATCCTCTCGCTTCTGCAGGAGTCTACTGTGTACCATGCATCTGTGGACAAGTCTACATAGGGACCATCAAACGCAGCATTGCCCAAACACGAATCAAGGAACATGAAAGGCACTGCAGACTACTTCAACGCTCCCCTGAGGCAGGCCGTTCTTCTGTTTCCGCCATCTGCTTCTCTGGCCCTGGAACTCAACAAAGAAGCTCCTGTTTTGTAGCAGGTTTCCTATGAGGCTGGTGAGGTGGTCGTCCTTTGTGATATTATACATTTTTCTCAGGAGGAGGCAGCGGTGGTTCACAGTCTCATAGGCTGCGGACAGGTCTCTGAAGACAGCTCCTGTGATCCGCTGCCTTTCAAAGCCATCTTCGATGTGCTGAGTCAGGTTCAACACTTGTGATGTGCAGCTTTTGCCTTTCCTGAAGCCAGCTTGCTGTGGAATCAGACACATCATTATTTCAGTCCAATGCTGAAACCTCCGCACCTTCCTGCTGTCTCTCTCACCTTTTTTCATTGAAATGTAAATGTTTGCATTAGCTGCTGCTGTTAATTCTTCTTTGCATAGTTTCTTATCCAACCCTAACATTATCATAATGAGAGGCTGCAGAGGAGAAAATTTCTTTGCTTTTTTTCCTTTGCTTTTTAAAAATATCCTGTCCAGTCAGCTCCACTTTTTCCATTACAGTAATTATGTTTCCCTCCCGGGCATGCCATTCATGCAGGAAGGGGCAATCTAGCATGCTTAAATAAGCCACTTGTTGGGCAAACTTAACTGATGCCCACATTTTTGAACATGAGTGATGTTTTCCGTACAGTCTTTTTAAAATTGTTTTGTTATGATACTGAATATTTTTTTCACAGCAAGTTCCTGTCTTTTTCTGAAGCCAGATACATACCAAATCAGTGAAGATATTCTTCACTTCACTTCAGTTACTTACTTCATTTAAGTCTGAGGATGATGCTCCTCCAAGTGTAGTATCCTGGTGGTGGATACTACACTTGATCTGCATCTTCTCCCGCAGTGAGGGCATCGATTTCCAGGTGGAAGGTGCATTTAATAATCTAACGATGCATTAATAATCAACACAAACCAGTCAACCAGCCCCTTCCTGGCCACTACTACTACTACTTACTTACTTACTCAGGCAATCCCTCGTTGGACGAGTAAGATGGTCTTCCATGATGGGTTACCTTGTGGATTCGTAGGTGGCTGTGGAGCCCTATTCTTGACCCGCATCTTCTCCCACAGTGAAGGCATTGGTTTCCAGGTGGAAGACCGTCCTGGTCGGGGTTGGCTTGAGGCACCTTCCTCTTGGCACGTTTCTCTCTTTCGCCCTCCATTCGTGCCTCTTCAAATTCTGCAGCACTGCTGGTCACAGCTCACCTCCAACTGGAGGACTTCCCAGTTCTCCGTGTCTATGCCAGAGTTTTTAAGGTTGGCTTTGAGTCATTTTTCAATCTCTTTTCCTGTCCTCCAACATTCCTCTTTCCGTTCTTGAGTTCCGAGTAGAGCAACTGCTTTGGGAGACAGTGGTTGGGCATCCGGACAACATGGCAGGTCCAGCGGAGTTGATGGCGGAAGAGCATCGCTTCAGTGCTGGTGGTCTTTGCTTCTTCCAGCACGCTGATGTTTGTCCGCTTGTCCTCCCAAGAGATTTGCAGGATTTTCTGGAGGCAGCGATGATGGAATCGTTCCAGGAGTTGCATGTGACGTCTGTAGACTGTCCACGTCTCACAGGCATATAGCAGGGTTGGGAGGACAATAGCTTTATAGACAAGCCCCTTGGTATCCCTATGGATGTCCCGGTCCTCAAACACTCTCTGCTTCATTCGAAAAAATGCTGCACTCGCAGAGCTCAGCCGGTGTTGAATTTCAGTATCAATGTTGACTTTTGTGGAGAGGTGGCTGCCAAAGTAGCGGAAATGATCAACATTTTCTAATGTTACACCATTAAGCTGTATTTCTGGCATTGGAAAGGGATTGGTGTTGACCTATAAATCCCTAAACAACTCCGGCCCAGTTTACCTATCCGACCGGATTCTCCTCTATGAACCTTCTGGAGGGGCCCTGCTCTCGGTCCCACCATCTTCGCAATCTCGTCTGGTGGGGACGAGGGACAGGACCTTCTCAGTGGTGGCCCCTCGGCTCTGGAACTCTCTCCCATTGGGGATTAGAACTGCCTCTTCCCTCCTGACCTTTAGAAAGTTGGTGAAAGCCTGGCTTTGGAATCTGGCATTTGATGAGTGAGGCAATGGCTTTTGGCCACACGGACGGATGGGGATGAATAGTGATTTTTATGCTAACGACTTGGCTTTATATAATTATATGATAGTACTTTAATTTGTTTATATTAGTGTATTATTGATGTGATGTTTTCAAACTATTGTGTATGAACCCTCTTGTTGTAAACCAGCCTGAGTCCCTCGTTGGAGGTATATAAAAGTTCTAAATAAATAGATAAATAGGCTGGTGACTGCTGGAAGAGCACTTTAGTTTTCTCAATGTTTAATTACAGGCCGAGCTTCTCGTATGCTTCTGCAAAGGTGTTTAGAGTGGCTTGTAGGTCTTCTTCTGAATGCGCACAGACGACGTTGTCATCAGCATACTGGAGTTCTATAACAGATGTTGTAACCTTGGTTTTGGCTTTCGGTCTGCTGAGGTTAAATAGCTTGCCATCTGTCTGATAGATGATTTCCACTACGGTGGGAAGCTTCCCATCAACAAGATGAAGTATCATAGTGATGAAGATGGGGAATAGAGTTGGGGCAATAACACATCATCCCTGTTTGACACCTGATTCCACCTTAAATGGGTCACTTTGGGAGCCATTGCTGTCCAAGACTGTTGCCATCATGTCATCACGGAGGAGCCGCTTTGAGTCCTCGGGGTGAGAAAAGCGGTATACAAATACTGTAAATAATAATAATAATAATAATAATAATAATAATAATAATAATAATGTTCACAAATTTGTTGGCGCACCTGATTTTTTGGAGGATAGTTCAGAGAGCGCTGTGATTCAGTGTGTCGAATGCCTTTGCAAGGTCAATGAATACATACAAAATCGATGAAGATATTCTACAAACATAACACACACAGTCACACACACAACCAGAATTTTTTGATGGATTTTTCAAGTGTTTGTTGAACGTATTTGTAAGAATTCCTGGGAACAAGGGGATGGCTCTGACTTCCTGAGCTCATACTTGTTTGATGACTGAGATAATGCCTCTCTGTAGTGTTTTCCCCAGTGTAAATTGACTCAGCTCTTTGGGAGATATTAACTTGAAGTCGGCCTAGTTCAAGTTCATCCAGTACATAATTACAGGCTTTCTCTTCCTTATTTACCATCCAAGCTGAATTAATTCTGTGGTGCTAAATGAGTTGTATTTGTGCAGAATATATTCATAATGTCTCATCAGTATTTAGAGATTCTTACAAGGGTGTGAATCTTTCAGGCTTATTGTGTCTCCATGATAAATTAATCTCAAAATAAACGAGAGACAGTTTCCATTATTTCGCATTCTACTGGAAGGCTGTTTCAGTAGAAGAATCTTTTATATAAGAGCCGAAAGCAAGCCTAAGTGGAGCCGTTAATTGAAACAGCAAAAATATAGGAGATTTAAGCCCATGACCATGCAAGTTAAACATTTTATGAGTCATAGAATCATAGAATTAAAGATTTGGAAGAGACATCAGACGCTGAGAATTTATTATCTTTTTCTCTCAGAGCCTGGCAGAACGCCAAAGCCACTGTTCAGCTCTCCTGTTTTGATTGATCTCCTTTCATAGAATCATAGAATCAAAGAGTTGGAAGAGACCTCCTGGGCCATCCAGTCCAACCCCATTCTGCCAAGAAGCAGGAATATTGCATTCAAATCACCCCTGACAGATGGCCATCCAGCCTCTGTTTAAAAGCTTCCAAAAAAGGAGCCTCCACCACACACCGGGGCAGAGAGTTCCACTGCTGAACGGCTCTCACAGTCAGGAAGTTCTTCCTCATGTTCTGATGGAATCTCCTCTCTTGTAGTTTGAAGCCATTGTTCCCTTGCGTCCTAGTCTCCAAGGAAGCAGAAAACAAGCTTGCTCCCGCCTCCCTGTGGCTTCCTCTCACATTACTTACTTACTTAGGCGATCCCTCATTGGACGAGTAAGATGGTCTTCCTTCATGACTATTTTTGTGGGTTTGTAGGTGGCTGTGGAGCCCTCTTCTTGACCTGCATCTTCTCCCACAGTGAAGGCATTGGTTTCCAGGTGGAAGGCTGTCCCGGTCGGTGTTGGCTTGACGCGCCTTCCTCCTGGCATGTTTCTCTCTTTCACCCTCCACTCGTGCCTCCTCGAATTCTGTAGCACTGCTGGTCACAGCTGACCTCCAGCTGGAGCGCTCAAGGGCCAAGGCTTCCCAGTTCTCAGTTTCTATTCCAGAGATTTTAAGGTTGGCTTTGAGCCCATCTTTGAATCTCTTTTCCTGCCCACCAACATTCCGTTTTCCGTTCTTGAGTTCAGAGTACAGCAACTGCTTTGGGAGACGGTGGTCAGACATCTGGACAACGTGGCCGGCCCAGCGGAGTTGATGGCAGAGGACCATTGCTTCAGTGCTGGAGGTCTTTGCTTCTTCTTCCAGCATGCTGACGTTTGTCCGCTTGTCTTCCCAGGAGATTTGCAGGACTTTCCGGAGGCAGCGCTGATGGAATCGTTCCAGGAGTTGCATGTGGTGTCTGTACACAGTCCACGTCTCACAGGCATAGAGCAGGGTTGGGAGGGGACTAGCTTTATAGACAAGCACCTTGGTCTCCCTACGGATGTCCCGGTCCTCAAACACTCTCTGTTTCATTCGGGAAAATGATGCACTCCCAGAGCTCAGGCGGTGTTGTATTTCAGTGTCGATGTTGACTTTGGGGGAGAGGTGGCTGCCAAGGGAGCGGAAATGATCAACGTTTTCTAATGTTACACCATTAAGTTGTATCACTGGCACTGGAGAGGGGATGGCTGGTGACTGCTGGAACAGCACTTTGGTTTTTTAAATGTTCAGTGACAGGCCAAGCTTCTCGTATGCTTCTGCGAAGGTGTTTAGAGTGGCTTGTAGATCTTCTTCTGAATGCGCACAGACAACATTGTCATCAGCATACTGGAGTTCTATAACAGATGTTGTTGTAACCTTGGTTTTGGCTTTCAGTCTGCTGAGGTTAAACAGCTTGCCATCTGTCCGATAGATGATTTCCACTCCGGTGGGAAGCTTCCTGTCAACAAGGTGAAGTCTCATAGCGATGAAGATGGAGAATAGAGTTGGGGCAATAACACATCCCTGTTTGACACCCGATTCCACCTTAAATGGGTCACTTTTACAGTATCTTTTCTTATAAATCATCTGGTGGGTTCTGTTAAAAAAAACTGTTCTATTTTTTTATCCTAAAGAAATGCCTCTCTCGTTGGTTAATGAATTGCGTTCCACCTGTTGCCTGTAGTTCTTCATGGGAGACCAAGTCCTATATTGATTTGGTGCTTATGTCTTACAGAGACGCCTGAAAGCAGATGCCAAAAAAGCGATCGGCCGGCTGCAACTGCGGACACTGAAACAAGGAGACAAGGTAATGGGGAAAACACATGAGAGAAAGGAACAGGTACACTTTTGCTAGCGTATTAGGGGTTATCATTGACTAGGAATTCCTTTAACAAGCCTGTGTTGAGCTAGCCGTGGCCTAGAAGACCAAGCAAGCCATCTTCTTTTCTTTTTTTGGACAAGTCTACTGCTGTTTTCTTTCCCAAAGTTTAGAAAAAAAAAATAGATATTTGGGCTACACTCCTAAGAATCCTCCAGAGTCCTGTGGCCAGCAAGATCGGTTGAAACTCCCAAGATGTAGGCTTTCGGAGATTTATAGTTCAAAAGGCCCTTTCCAGGTTGTATTCTGAGATCTTGTTTTTAAAGAAATCTCAGGAAACCCTTTGAGAAATATGTGAAAGAGAAGAAATAGAGAGACAGTGTCTAGCAATGTGTTTTTGTGTGTGTTTTTCTTTCTTTGTTTATTTTTTTCTTTTATTTTTAATACTTTTATCTCTGTTTTTTCATTATCTATGATTAAACAGGAGTGTAATCGAGTGAGACAAAAATTAAATAAAAAATACATATATAGTTTAAACAAGTAATTATATAATACAGGCGAAGACATGGAATGGAAGTCAAAGGATTTTTTAAAAATTAATATTTTTTTCTAAATTTTTAAGGTTTTTTTTGGAAATAAATTTTTATTAATTTATCATGAACTACAGCGAAAGAGGGAAAATAATTTGAAGAGGATAGGAAAGTAGGAAAATTAAGAACACACATCTCAGAAAAGGGAAGAAAAAAAAGAGTGTCCAAAAATTGTAAAGTGAATATATTTTTAAGGTATTTTTGTATTTAAACAAGTAATTATATAATACAGGCGAAGGCACAAAATGGAAGTAAAAGGATTTTTTAAAAAACAATATTTTTTCTAATTTTAAAGGTATTTTTGTATGTCTTTTTTCTCTTTTTTCCTTTTTTTATTTCCATTTATCTTTAAATATTTTCCTACTTTCCTATAAACTTAGAGTTCTCCCACTTTCTGTGTAAATCTCAATTAAGGATCGTATTTCTTTGTGTGTGTATAATATAATAAAAATTATATATATATAAAAAGAAATCTCAGGGAAAGCATTTGGCTCAACGTGTATTGGCCAGCCCTTTGTCTATATCATTTTATTTTTTTGGCCCCTTGTTTATTTATTTATTTATGTACAGTATTTATATTCCGCTCTTCTCCTCACCCCGCAGGGGACTCAGGGCAGATTACAGTGTACACATATATGGCAAACATTCAATGACAATTTTGACATACAACATATACAGACATACACAGAGGCTATTTCACTTTTTCTGGCCGCCAGGGGAGCTGTCGCTTTCATCGTCCATCTGCGACGCTGATGAAGCACTTCCGCATTCCCCGCATGCTTCCCCGCTGGAATGCTTTTGCTGGAGTCTTCTTTATGGCCTCATAAATCAGTTAATTTAGCCTCCCCACACTTTTTAAGGTGGTACCTAATTTTCCTACTTGACAGATGCAACTGTCTTTCGGTTTGCAAAGGTCGACAACACGCTCATCACAGTCAACTTTAGGCTATAATCTACTTTATTTACAGCTATACACAGTAGCACATTGTAAAACTGCTTCCTCTCCATCCGGCAGCTACATCACAAACACAGAAGCTGATGAAGCACTTCCGCATTCCCCGCATACTTTCCCGCTGGAATGCTTTGCTGGAGTCTTCTTTATGGCCTCCTAAATCAGTTAATTTAGCCTCCCCACACTTTTTAAGGTGGTACCTTATTTTCCTACTTGACAGATGCAGCTGTCTTTCGGTTTGCTAAGGTAAACCCACACGCTCATCACAGTCAACTTTAGGCTATAATCTACTTTATTTACAGCTATACACAGTAGCACATTGTAAAACTGCTTCCTCTCTGTTCGGCAGCTACATCACGAACACGCTGTTATCAGTACTAGTCCACACCTCCTGCATTCCAGAGTTACGTACGACGCACAAAGCTGCTTTGCTGGAGTCTTCTTTATGGCCTCATAAATCAGTTAATTTAGCCTCCCCACACTCTAAAGCCTCCCCACACTTATTTTCCTACTTGACAGATGCAACTGTCTTTCGGGTTGCAAAGGTCGACAACAGGCTACACACAATTGGTTGGAAACCCACTCCAACCCAGGCTGGCTTCGAACTCATGACCTTTTGGTCAGAGTGATCTTAATGCAGCTGACACTCAGCCAGCTGCGCCACAATCCCGGTGTTTGGGATTTATAGTTCACCTACAATCAAAGAGCACTCTGTACTTGACCAACAATAGAATTGGGTCAAACTTCCCACAGAGAATCCCAATGACGAACAGAAAATACTGTTTTTCTGATGGTCTTTGGCGATCCCTTTGACACCCCCTCACAACCCCCTCAGGGGTCCCGACCCCCAGGTTGAGAAACACTGGTGTAGATGCACCCTTTTGTGGTATATCTTCTAACCATGCCTACCCTTGCTGAAGTTTAAAGTGTTTCTTTTTGTGGTCCGACAGTGCTGAGTATTGAGATTTATTTCGCATACTATTTGCATTTTGGAAAATGTGCCTTTTTTAATTAGAAAACTGTCGTAGGCAATCAATAGACCAAAATGGAGCCAAGCACAGCCCACTCTCCCAACAGTTCTCACTTGCTGTATGCCATTCTGGTTATTTATTTATTTATTTATGTATTTACTTTGCTTCTATACCGCTGTATCTCAAGCCCGAAGGCGACTCACAGCGGTTCACAAACAGTAAAAACAGTAGAAACAGCAGTGGTTCCATACAACATATAACAATTGACTTAACACATTATCCATAAATTACCAATAAGCAGTTACAATGCACAATTATTACGAAAAACAACCGTACCCAATCTTCTCATCATCCAAGCGTAGTCCAGGTTCGTCGTCCATTGTTCCATTCCTATGTTCCATTACCAGATTGCACTAAATTACTCAAACGCCTGCACAAACATCCAGGTCTTCACCTTTTTGCGGAATACCATTAGAGATGGTGCTAGTCTAATGTCCGTAGGAAGGGCGTTCCACAGCCGAGGAGCCACCACCGAGAAGGCCCTATCTCTCGTCCCCGCCAGCCGAGCTTGAGAAGCAGGCGGGATCGAGAGCAGGGTCTCCCCGGAAGATCTCAAACTCCTGGTGGGTTCATAGGCAGAGATGCGGTCAGATAGGTAGCTTGGGCCGGAACCGTTTAGGGCTTTAAAGGCCAACGCCAGCACTTTGAATTCAGCCCGGTAGCAGATCGGTAGCCAGTGGAGTTGGCGCAACAGGGGGGTTGTATGCTCCCTGCGCTCCGCTCCTGTTAAAATCATGGCTGCCGAGCGTTGGACTAGTTGGAGCTTCCAAGCTGTCTTCAAAGGCAACCCCACGTAGAGAGCGTTGCAGTAGTCTATTCTGGATGTAACCAGTGGCCAAGTCAGACTTCCCAAGGAAAGAGTGCAGCTGGCGCACAAGTTTTAATTGTGCAAAAGCTCTCCCAGCCACCGCCGCAACCTGGGGTTCCAGCCTCAGCGGTGAGTCCAGGATCACTCCTAGACTGCGAACCTCTGTCTTCAGTGGGAGTATAACCCCGCCTAACACAGGCTGTAACCCTATGCCCTGTTCGGCCTTCCGACCAGCAGTACCTCTGTCTTGTCTGGATTCAATTTCAATTTGTTCGCCCTCATCCAGACCGTCACAGCGGCCAAGCACCGTTTCAGGACCTCGACAGCCTCCTTAGTAGCAGGTGGAAAGGAGTGACAGAGTTGGACATCATCTGCGTACAGATGACACCGTACCCCGAAACTCCGGATGATCTCGCCCAGCGGCTTCATGTAGATGTTAAACAACATGGGAGACAGTATTGAACCCTGAGGAACCCCACAAGACAAAGGTTGTGGGGTTGAACAGGAGTCTCCCAGTAACACCTTCTGAGACCGACCCTCAAGGAATGAGCGGAGCCACTGTAAAACAGTACCGCCAAGACCCATCCCCGCGAGGCGTCCCAGAAGGATACCATGGTCGACGGTATCGAAGGCCGCTGAGAGGCCTCTAAGTGATGATATAGGCAGAAGACAAGATGGAGTCTCTTCCGTGCCCTTCTGTCTTTGCTCTGGCTAGAGCAGCCCTTGGTGCCAGAAGGGGGAGAGGCCTCTAAGTGATGATATAGGCAGAAGACAAGATGGAGTCTCTTCCGTGCCCTTCTGTCTTTGCTCTGGCTAGAGCAGCCCTTGGAGCCAGAAGGGGGCGAGGCCTCTAAGTGATGATATAGGCAGAAGACAAGATGGAGTCTCTTCTGTGCCCTTCTGTCTTTGCTCTGGCTAGAGCAGCCCTTGGTGCCAGAAGGGGGAGAGGCCTCTAAGTGATGATATAGGCAGAAGACAAGATGGAGTCTCTTCTGTGCCCTTCTGTCTTTGCTCTGGCTAGAGCAGCCCTTGGAGCCAGAAGGGGGAGGCCTCTAAGTGATGATATAGGCAGAAGACAAGATGGAGTCTCTTCTGTGCCCTTCTGTCTTTGCTCTGGCTAGAGCAGCCCTTGGAGCCAGAAGGGGGAGGGGCCTCTAAGTGATGATATAGGCAGAAGACAAGATGGAGTCTCTTCTGTGCCCTTCTGTCTTTGCTCTGGCTAGAGCAGCCCTTGGAGCCAGAAGGGGGAGAGGCCTCTAAGTGATGATATAGGCAGAAGACAAGATGGAGTCTCTTCTGTGCCCTTCTGTCTTTGCTCTGGCTAGAGCAGCCCTTGGAGCCAGAAGGGGGAGAGGCCTCTAAGTGATGATATAGGCAGAAGACAAGATGGAGTCTCTTCTGTGCCCTTCTGTCTTTGCTCTGGCTAGAGCAGCCCTTGGTGCCAGAAGGGGGAGAGGCCTCTAAGTGATGATATAGGCAGAAGACAAGATGGAGTCTCTTCTGTGCCCTTCTGTCTTTGCTCTGGCTAGAGCAGCCCTTGGAGCCAGAAGGGGGCGAGGCCTCTAAGTGATGATATAGGCAGAAGACAAGATGGAGTCTCTTCTGTGCCCTTCTGTCTTTGCTCTGGCTAGAGCAGCCCTTGGTGCCAGAAGGGGGAGAGGCCTCTAAGTGATGATATAGGCAGAAGACAAGATGGAGTCTCTTCTGTGCCCTTCTGTCTTTGCTCTGGCTAGAGCAGCCCTTGGTGCCAGAAGGGGGAGAGGCCTCTAAGTGATGATATAGGCAGAAGACAAGATGGAGTCTCTTCTGTGCCCTTCTGTCTTTGCTCTGGCGAGAGCAGCCCTTGGAGCCAGAAGGGGGAGAGGCCTCTAAGTGATGATATAGGCAGAAGACAAGATGGAGTCTCTTCTGTGCCCTTCTGTCTTTGCTCTGGCTAGAGCAGCCCTTGGAGCCAGAAGGGGGAGGCCTCTAAGTGATGATATAGGCAGAAGACAAGATGGAGTCTCTTCTGTGCCCTTCTGTCTTTGCTCTGGCTAGAGCAGCCCTTGGAGCCAGAAGGGGGCGAGGCCTCTAAGTGATGATACAGGCAGAAGACAAGATGGAGTCTCTTCTGTGCCCTTCTGTCTTTGCTCTGGCTAGAGCAGCCCTTGGAGCCAGAAGGGGGCGAGGCCTCTAAGTGATGATATAGGCAGAAGACAAGATGGAGTCTCTTCTGTGCCCTTCTGTCTTTGCTCTGGCTAGAGCAGCCCTTGGAGCCAGAAGGGGGAGAGGCCTCTAAGTGATGATATAGGCAGAAGACAAGATGGAGTCTCTTCTGTGCCCTTCTGTCTTTGCTCTGGCTAGAGCAGCCCTTGGTGCCAGAAGGGGGAGAGGCCTCTAAGTGATGATATAGGCAGAAGACAAGATGGAGTCTCTTCTGTGCCCTTCTGTCTTTGCTCTGGCTAGAGCAGCCCTTGGAGCCAGAAGGGGGAGAGGCCTCTAAGTGATGATATAGGCAGAAGACAAGATGGAGTCTCTTCTGTGCCCTTCTGTCTTTGCTCTGGCTGAGAGCAGCCCTTGGAGCCAGAAGGGGGCGAGGCCTCTAAGTGATGATATAGGCAGAAGACAAGATGGAGTCTCTTCTGTGCCCTTCTGTCTTTGCTCTGGCTAGAGCAGCCCTTGGAGCCAGAAGGGGGCGAGGCCTCTAAGTGATGATATAGGCAGAAGACAAGATGGAGTCTCTTCTGTGCCCTTCTGTCTTTGCTCTGGCTAGAGCAGCCCTTGGAGCCAGAAGGGGGAGGCCTCTAAGTGATGATATAGGCAGAAGACAAGATGGAGTCTCTTCTGTGCCCTTCTGTCTTTGCTCTGGCTAGAGCAGCCCTTGGTGCCAGAAGGGGGAGAGGCCTCTAAGTGATGATATAGGCAGAAGACAAGATGGAGTCTCTTCTGTGCCCTTCTGTCTTTGCTCTGGCTAGAGCAGCCCTTGGAGCCAGAAGGGGGAGAGGCCTCTAAGTGATGATATAGGCAGAAGACAAGATGGAGTCTCTTCTGTGCCCTTCTGTCTTTGCTCTGGCTAGAGCAGCCCTTGGTGCCAGAAGGGGGAGAGGCCTCTCAGTGATGATACAGGCAGAAGACAAGATGGAGTCTCTTCTGTGCCCTTCTGTCTTTGCTCTGGCTAGAGCAGCCCTTGGAGCCAGAAGGGGGAGAGGCCTCTAAGTGATGATATAGGCAGAAGACAAGATGGAGTTATGCAAAAAAGACCTCTTTTAACAATATACCTGGCCTTTTTTTCCTTTAGGAAACGGGTCCTGATGCAGATAGCTGTGCTGTGTGTATTGAGGTGTACAAGCCAAACGATGTTGTGCGAATTTTAACCTGCAAGTAAGTTGATCCTTTCCTGCCCCCATTATACTTTCATACTATAAGATTGGTGATTTACATCCCTTGTCCCACCCTCTTTTTTCTTTTACCATATTCTTACAGGCTCATATTGCAAAGCTTGATTTAGTATTTGTTTACTTTTTGACAGTTTTCAAAATCCACATTAAAACAACTGTAATACAAAACAACTATATAATTATATATTTACATTACATGTAATATTACTAATAATATTACAATATAATGGTATAGTGCAATATAGTCATATATAATACTGATATTGTACTATGCTAATAATGTAATATACTAGCTGTCCCCTGCCATGCGTTGCTGTGGCCCAGTCTGGTGATCTGGAAAATAAAGTAATGAGAAAGTGTTGGTTTCTGATCTATGTAATGTCTTGATGCATGTGGGTAAACAGTATTTCTTGCTGTTTCTTTGTCAGTGTTGATGTGGAGAGTGTCTGGTTTGCCTACTCTGGAACATGCAACATATCATTGCCCTTCTTTAAGGGTCCCTTTCAAATCTAGGATATTATATCTCTGTGTGAATCATATCTATCTATCTATCTATCTATCGCTATGGCTGGATGGCTCTTTGTCAGGAGGGCTTTGATTACGTTTTCTTGCCCTGGAGAAGGGAGTAAGACTGCATGGCCTTAAGTAGTTTTCTGTTGGTCATGGGGGTTCTGTGTGGGAAGGTGGCCCCAATTCTGTCATTCATGGGGTTCAGAATGCTCTTTGATTGTAGGTGAACTGTGAATCCCAGTGGCTACAACTCCCAAATGTCAAGGTCTATTTCCCCCAAACTCCATCTGTGTTCATATTTGGGCGTATTGAGTGCTTGTGCCAAGTTTGGTCCAGATCCATCATTGTTTGAGTCCACAGTGCTCTCTGGATGTAGGTGAACTACAACTCCAAAACCCAAGGTCAATGCCCACCAAATTCTTCTAGTGTTTACTGTTGGTCAGGGAAGTCCGTGTGCCAAGTTTGATTCAATTCCATCGTTGGTGGAGTTCAGAATGCTCCTTGATTGGAGGTGAACTATAAATCCCAGTAACTACAACTCCCAAATGACAAAATCATAAAATTTTGAGTGATGGTCACTCTTTGTGTAGTTAGACGTTTTGTTGCCAAATTTGGTGTGATTTCGTTCATTGGTTCTTTTGTTTTTAAGGTACTCATTACACACAGAGCATTTTTATATAGATTGTATGAAACTATATATTGTAAGGGTGAGTGTTGCAATCCAGAGCAGGAAACTGGACCCTCAGACAACAATCCACCACACTTGACTTCAGGAAAACAATCCTTTTTTATTGATGAAAGATGAATACAAAATAGAAGAAATATGCAAAGGTAAAAAGTCACAGTAAAAATCAGGAACAAGAAATCTCCACAAACAAGATCATGAAATCCACAACAAAACTGCTAAATCCTGGAACCTGTTAGCAATCCACTAACCGTGGATTGCTAGAAAACCTCCGAGGAACAAGGCCACTTGAATGAGGAGACCTGCAAAAGCTTGCACATGAATCTGGAACGATGTCTGGTCTGAAGCTGCATTCAGGCCAGGCATACTTAAGGCCGAGAAATCTATTGCAAGACACGCCTGAAGATTTTGTTTGCATTTCTTTCAATCTGGCTGACCTACGTAAATTTTGTGCTTCACCCCGGCTCTGCCAAATCTGCCCCCACCTATCCTCATTAGGCAGACCAGGTGTCAGATTCTCTGGAGAACTGAGACTGGGAGGAAAAGGGAGTGAAACGTCTCAGCTTGGCTAGGAATGCATGTTCTCATGGGAATTTTGACTTTCACTTTCCAAGGCTGTAGGATTTTCACTACTCAAACCATCATCATCTAAATTGGCCTCAGGATTCACATTGACATCTACATTGGCATCAGGAAATACAATCAGAGAATCGGGTTCAGGTTCACACACAGGCTGAACCCCAGCACTGAGAAGGGAGGCATATTAATGCACTAAATAAATAATAAACCCAAAGGCCCACTGTATACTGCAAACACAACCCTTCAAAAGCTGTGTAATTGTTTAAAACAAAGGTAGGAACTATAGAAATTACTTCTGCCAGTGGTTTTTCATCTGTGCTCTTGTCACGGCAACAACTAGACGCCACAGTTAGAGCGCATGTTCCCTTTACGGAATGATCTGTGCATGCAAGTATGGATAAGTGACTATAGGACAGCTGTTCTCAACCTGGGGGTCGCGACCCCCAAAGGGGTCACTGGGCCATTTTCCGGGGGTCGCGAAGCCTACCGGGTTGGCCCTGCCCCCCTCCAAAATGGCTGCCGGCTCCTGTGCGAGCCTAACAGTCACGGTGGTGGAGGGGGCCTTTCCCGCTCGTCCCATGCGTTCTCCGGCCTCTGAAGGGGCGAGGGGCTCCCAGCCATCTTTACCCTCTCCAGGCAGCAAATAAGGCTCTTCAGGAACTCAAGGTAGGACAAATCTTTGTACATGCCTCCCCCAAACCACTCCAGTATTATCTGTTGGTCATGGAAGTCCTGTGTGCCAAGTTTGGTTCATTTCTATTGTTGGTGGAGTTCGGAATGCTCTTTGGTGCCTGGCGAACTATAATTCACACAAATGCAATTCCCAAATGTCAGGGTCTATTTTTCCCAAACCTCTCCAGTATTATCTGTTGGTCATGGAAGTCCTGTACGCCAAGTTTGGCTCAATTCTATTGTTGGTGGAGTTCAGAATGCTCTTTGGTGCCTGGTGAACTATAATTCACACAAATGCAATTTCCAAATGTCAGGGTCTATTTTTCCCAAACCCCTCCAGTATTATCTGATGGTCATGGAAGTCTTTATGCCAAGTTTGGTTCAATTCTACTGTTGGTGGAGTTCAGAATGCTCTTTGGTGCCTGGCGAACTATAATTCACACAAATGCAATTCCCAAATGTCAGGGTCTATTTTTCC